CTGCTTCTCCCTCTGACCCTCCCCCCGTCTCATGTGCTCTCTCTCTCTCTCAAATAAATAAATAAAATCTTTAAAAAAAAAAAAATTAAAAACTTTTGTATATCAAAGAACATTATCAAGAGAATGAAATAACAACTTAAAGGATAAGAGGAAATATTTGCAAATCATGTATTTGATAAGGGGTTAATATGCAAAATATAAGCTCCTACTACTCAACAACAAAAGGACAAACAACTGAATTAAAAAATGGGAAAAGGACCTGAACGGACATTTTTTCAAAGTGGATAATATACATGGCCAGCAAGCACATGAAAATGAAACCACAAAGAAAAACCACTTCATATCCACTGGGTTGGCCATAATAAGAAAAAATGGAAAATAATCAGTGTTGGTAAGGATGTGGGAACTTTCATATATTGCTGGCATGAATGTAAAATGGTGCAGCTACTGTAGAAAGCAGTTTGGCAGTTCCTCAGAAAGTTAAACATAGAATCACCATATGAAATCAATTCAAATCCTAGGTATATAACCAAAAGAACTGGAAAAAGGAATTCAGACAAATACTTGCACATGAATGTTCACAGAAACACTATTCACAACAGCTAAAAAGTGGAATCAACCCAAATGTCCACCAATTGATGAACGGATAAACAAAATGTCCTATATCCACACAATGGAATATTTGGCCATAAAAAGGACTGAACCATTAATACAATGCAGGTGACCTCAAAAACATGCTAACTGAAAGAAGCCAGACACAAAAGGGAACATATTATATGATTCCATTTGTATGAAACATCCAGAACAGGTAATTCTATAGAACCAGAAAGTAGACTACTGGTTGCCAGGGGCAGAAGGAAGTGGGGAATGGGGAGTTAATGTTTAATGGGTATGAGGTTTCCTTTTGGACAGATGAAAATCTCTTGGAACTACACAGAAGTGATGGCTACACAGCACAGTGAATATACACTAAATGCAACTGAACTGCGTACTTTAAAAGGATTAGTTTTACTGTGTGATTTTTACCTCAATAGAGAAAAATGTAGCTGCTCTCACTATACCGTGTCTTTTACGTATGATAGTGTGATGAATATGGTACCTTTTAAAAAATTTTTTTATTGTTATGTTAATCACCATACATTACATCATTAGTTTTTGATGTAGTGTTCCATGATTCATTGTTTGTGTATAACACCCAGTG